TCTTCTAATTCCATGGGTCCTTCACCATTTAAAAGTTTATTTATTTTAACTAATTTCTCATACCCAGAATTTTTCTCTAAAACATTTTTCATCTTTTTTAAAACTTCTTTTGCTGCTTTGCCAGGTGCCTTCTCGATGTTTTGATATACAGTTTTAATAATATTTAAAGAAACTAACAGCGGCTGCTCTTTTGTTTCTAATGTTGCAATTGTCTGAATTAAAAACTGAAAATGGCATTTTATATATACTAGGTCATCTTTCACTCCTCTTGTAGACATTGCTTTCTTAGCATCGACTATTGATGCTGCATCGTCCTCATCTAGACTTTCGAGTATTCCCCGGATCTTTTCAAAATTGTCTGCATAATAGCAGGCAGCATTTAGCTAGTGAGAATTGGTTGTGGAGGCAATTGCAAATCAGGTTTAAAATGACCGACTAGGTGCTTTGAAATAATGGTATTTACTGTAGGATATAAACTTCTTATTGTTTCTGCTACGCGATGTACACCATGCACTAAGCATGTTAAGTGTATCATCTTGCTGTACATTAATTTTAACCCTGCGCCGGCCTTAACCATGTAAGGTGCAGCGTCTGAGACTAACAGTAGCACTTTTTCATAGTTAATACCAGTTGGCCACAAAAAATCATGGCAGCACTGTGTTGTTAACAAATACGCAGGAGATGGTTTATCCATTAACGCACCAACAATTACATTAGCCACATATCGACCTGCAGAATCAGTGGTCTCGTCAATTGCAACCCATATATAGTTGTCACCAATTTCTCTTTGGATTTTTTTAACGGTTTCCAAATATACTTTTGGCAAATAATTTTTTCTTACTGTAGACTCATCTGGTATGGAAATTTGTATACTTTTCCAAAGTTTCTTTCAGCTTAGGATGTTGCAACGTATTTAGTGGAATATTAGCAGCTACAAATGAACGGCATATATCTTCAAAAAATTCTGAATTTGATCCATTTGTTTTTTCGGCAACCGTGGTTGTTATCAAACATTGTTTTGGTCGTTTTAATGATGCACATTTCATGTGCTTTGCAGTTCCAATATGTTGAATCACTTGCGAACGTTTATCGGTGTGACTTTTCACATATATTACAAAATAATATATATCTGTTTTAAATACATCTCCATGTTGTAGCCTCCAAAGGGTTCATTTTGGACTTTTGGTCCGGTACAGGGTCGGTCACGGGGGACCTTTTGCCCTGAACCTTAAAGTTACGTTACTATAAAGAGAATAAAATGTTTTTTTTAGCAAGCTTAAATGATAAAATGACTGAGGGTCCTGATTGATTAATGCCTAAACTGAATTGAAACCATATGAACAAGAAAGTGAACCGCCAGCGGCCTATTCTTTATCTAGCAGGGGACTGCGTCTGGAGAGCTATAGAGCTAACCACACGTCAGCGTCTGCCTATGCTTGCAATAATTAAGTGACTTACTTGAAGAGCTAGAAAATAAAAATTAGGTTAGCAAATTCTGACTAGGAAGTAAGGAGAGAGGGGAAAGGGCGAAGATCAACCCGCGTTCCCAGAATACCTCGGTGGAGTCGTCTGTTATTTGGATCATAATCAATAACTTCATTGATCAGTGGGTTCGGAATAGTTCTGATTCGATCCACTGTGCTGCTGGTTCTAGTCTCAATTAGTGTTGCCATGGGAGGGAGATTTAGGTCCGTGCGAAGCTGTGAGTTGCGGATGAACCAAGGGGCTCCTGTGATCAGTCTCATCACCTTGTTTTGGACAGAGTCCAAGCGCCTTTTGTGTGTGATGGCAGCTGTAGCCCACGCCGGGCAGGCGTACATAAAGATGGGTCTGATGATCGATGTCCAGATAAGTCGCCGGTTTTTCAGGGAGAGTTTGCTTTTTGGGTGAAGGAGAGGCCTAAGCATAGATATTACTCCGTATGACTTGTTGATAGCCCCTGTGATGTGCTGCCTCCTGCCTGCCTCTTGTCTAGAATTGACCCTTGGTACTTAACCTGGTTCGACCATTCCACTGGCTGGTCCGAGTAGGTCAGGGGGGTGGAAGGGACAATGTTGGGGCCTTTAGCGAAGATGATGGCTTGTGTTTTTGCTGGGTTAATTTCAATCCTCCATCTTAGAGCCCAGTCTTCCATTAGGTCCAGGCCATGTTGCAGTTGCTTCTGAATTTCGGTGGATCTTCTGCTAGAATAGTAGAGGGCAGTGTCATCCGCGTACATGGCCAGTTCCAGGCCAGGAGGGTGGGGGATATCCGCCATGAAAATATTGAACAAAGTGGGGCCTAGTACGGAGCCCTGAGGGACGCCGGCTCGAATCTTGCGCGATGTTGAAGTGGCCATGCCAACGGACACTGAGAATGTGCGGTCTTGGAGGTAGGAAGCCACAAGCTTCGCCAGTGGGGAGGATATGCCTATGTTGATCATCTTCGCTATAATACCTGGGTGCCAGACGCTGTCGAACTGCAATGTCCAGCAGGACCATTCCTGTTTTCCGCTTGTCATCGTATCCCTTGGTAATATGATTGGAGACCCTAACCAGCTGGAGCTCTGTTGACAGGAGTGGTCTGAAGCCAAACTGCTCATGCGGGATTGCGCCATCCGCCATCTCCGAGTCAATCTGGTGTTTTATGACTCTCTCCGTGATCTTTGCTATCGACGACAGCAGGGTAGTTGGCCGGGTGGACCGCGTTCTGCCCCTGCTTAGGGATCATGATCACCTTTGCGGCTTTCCACGCCGTAGGGAAATGTTGGGTCCATAGTATGCCGTTGATTACCGAGGTCAGGTGAGAGATCGTGGGTTGCGGGAGTCTCTTGAGTGCAAGGTTCTGGATGTTGTCTATGCCTGGGGCATCCCTTTTCTTAAGTGACCCGACGATGCTTGATACTTCTTCCTCGGTGGTTTGAGAAATGGAGGGGTAGCCGGCCTCTCGCAGGTGCCTTACTGATCGCCTGAGTAACCTGTCGTCATCCTCATATTCATCGAGTCCTTCATGGGGTTTGAAAGTTCTCTCCAGATGGTCCGCGAAGGTGTCTGCCTTTTCCTCCTCTGAGTATACCAGTCCGTTGGGGCCGTGTAGGGGTTTTATGGCATTGGACTCCTTGGCCTTAGGATTTTTAGTCAGCTTCCACAGTTCGGGGGCGCGCCGTGTCCATACTAGATAGTTTTTGTGTCCACATATCATCTAAGAACTCCCTCAGTTCCTCTCTAAGCTGTGCAGTCAGTCTATCGAACGCTCGCCTGTCTGCAGGGTCCAGGGTGCGCTGTGCACGTTTTTCGCGGCTCGTTTGCGATTTAATAGATCCTGCAGGTGGCGAGGAAGAAGGTAAGGAGATATGTACTCCACCTCGCGGGTGACTGTTAATTCCAGAATTGCTGCGGAGATGGCTGCTGTGAGAGTGTTGGCTTGGGTTTCTACTTCCCGAGGGGACTTTGGAATTTCATCCGGCGGCCGATGCGCTGACATGATCCTATGGAAGCGAGGCCAGCTGGTAGTCTTTCTGGTGTAGGTTTGTCGTTCGGGGCGGTTTTGGCCCAGCGTGATCATGATTGGGTTGTGGTCAGAGGAGGAGTCAATAAGGGTGGCAATCTGGAGGTTGTCATAGAATAGTTTAGAAACCGCAACATCAAGGATGTCTGGCTGACTGTTGGCGGGAAAGTGCGTGGGAGCGTCTGGCCCGTGGACATCCCAAGATCTAGTTTGGGCAAGTTGTAGCAGCCTCCTGCCGTAGGTGTTGGTGGTCCTGCTGTTCCAGGCAGGGTTTTTGGCGTTCATATCCCCCGCGAGGATGGTGGGGATGTTTTCCTCCATCAGGGTGGAAATGTCCTCGTCTGGGAAGGGTCTGCCAGGAGGAAGGTAGCCGCTAATAATCTTGAGTGGGCCACAGAAGGCCGTGTCGATGTAAATGGCAGTTGACTCAATGGTAGCTGGAGGTAAGTCTGGCACAGCGCAGTGAGAGAGGTCGCGTCTAGCAAGGATAAGGACGCCCCCTCCTCCGTCTTGGTTGGGTCTGCAAGGGGGGCCCTGTGGTTGGGCTGGTTGTGCAGCCACTACTTGACTGTATGTTCCAGTTACTCTGTGGGCCGTGGGGATGGCTGCCTGCTTTGCTCTGGGTCTTTTGGGACAAATAGGGGCATTGGCTGTGTGCCCCCCTCCGCAGTTGGAGCATTTGGTGGGCGCGTTAGCTGGCATATTACAGTCCCTTGAGTCATGTCCTCCAGCACTTGGGCAGGGCGGTGCAACGCGCCTGGGTGTGGCTGTAGAGTTGGCACCGGTAGCATTGGCCAACGTTACCAGCGCAGTGCCTCTATCTTCACCCTAATGGAGCAAAGGAACTCCGTGTCGTAGAATGCCGCCTCCTCCTTGGGCAGTTTAACCAGGATAAGTGGCATGACTTTGCCTTCCGGGCCTTTTTTCATTCTGATTGCAGAGTGTGGGTGGAATCCCTATTCCTTGATTTCGGTCACAACTTCCTTGATGTCTATTTCCTGTGGGAGACCGCGGATGACAACCTGGAGCAGTTTGTCCTCCGGGAGCATATACGTGTGAAACTGCTCACCGTTATTTTGGAAAAACTTGGTGATTGCTCGGAAGGAGTCCACAGTGTCCGGGAAGAACTTGACGCCTTCCGGGATGTTGACGGCTTTAGAGAAGTGCCAGACCTTCTGCTTCAGTTCTTTGGACACCATGGTCCAGCGGTCCTTGGTTCTAAGAATTATGGGAGGAATTTGCTTCGTGGATTTGGGTTGATCCTGGTTTTGCTGTCCTGGTGTATTGGACTGGACTGGTTGTTCTTTACTTGGAGGGACATAGCTGGAGGTGGCCGCGTTCTCTGCAGGGACTGTCGCAGGAGTGGTCGCAGCTGGGTGGTCCGTGTCCATTTGTGACGCCTGATTGCTTGTTGAGGGCGCTACAGGCGGGACGTAGCCCAACGGGGGGCTGGCTGCGTCCTGGGAAGGGCCGCGTTGTTCGTGGGCCATCGATTGGGACAAGTAGCTTGGCTGTTAAGGAGGGGAGTATCCCAGCCTAGGGGCTGCCAGAGGCTCTTTGGGCTTTGTGGGAGAGCTCCCTACTCTTTTCCTTTTGTTGGTGACTTTATACGATTCGTCGTCATTAGTGGGTTCAAGTTGAGCATGTTGATTTGCAAGCAGTTGGGCCAGTTGGATCTGTAGCTGTTCTATCTGGCCGCTTTGTCTAGTGAGAAGGTCAGTTTGGGCAGCCAGTTGTTTGGTCAAGTTGTCTACAAGTACGGCCAGCCTAGTGCTTTCTTTTGTCAATCGGTTTTCCAAATCCGTGTTAGTTTTGCGTCCAGATTTTTGGATCTGGACGATTTTCTCTTGGATGGAAGGGTAGATCTTGCCGCTTGGGTTCCGATTCTTTTGGTCATCAACTTTATGGGTGTCGTCATTAGCTTTCTCTGATTTTTTTTTTGGTGTTTGTTTTTAGGAATGGCTCCCCCCTTAATCGGGGATCGTGAGATTTTACTGGAACCTAGGAAGGGATTACCCTCTTGGTCAAATTGTAGGGGTTCCAGATTTTTAGTAAGTGAGAAAAGTGAGCTTAGCAGTGGAATCTCACAGGGTTGAATCGACGGTTTGTCATTCATGTTTGATGAGTTAAGTAGAAGGAGGTTACAACAAATTTGTCAGAATTTCTTTAAGAAAAATAAAGAACGGGGACAAAAACAGATAAAATTACAAAAATAAAAGATTTTGTTCGATTTAGGATCAGTAGTTGCACCCAACGACGTAAAATAAACGGGAAAATCAATGGGATGCCGTGGTGCAGTGGGCGGGGCTTGTGAGCTCTGTTGGAGAGGTTATAAATAGAGTGTTTCCAAGCGCTGGTAGCAAACCCTTCGCAGCGGCCGAAGGCTACGGAGCTCAGCTACGCATGCGCGTAGAACATGAATTTGACTTTACAGTGTATAATGATTAAGAAATAAATATGGTAGTATGTAAATATGTAAAAATGTAGCAGACAAAATAGAAATAAGGGACATTCATGATAAAATACGAAATTCAAACAAAATAGACAAAAATAAACAAAATAACTAACCTCGTGCAATGACAAAAATATTGGGCATCATCACAAAAATATCACAAACTAGGCGTTTAAAAACGCAATTCTAAGCTAATAGGGACCGACGCCTACTCAGTTCAGCGTCGCACGGTGGGTTGGAATGCTACTTTTCTGGTCAAAACTAATTTGTGACCTTAATAATTGACCTAAAGCCTTGTTTTTCATTTTATTCAGAAATAAATAAGCTTTATATTAGTATCGACAAACATAATTTATGTTTATTATGTTTTGTTTTATAAGGCGTTAAACTTAAAAAATTACATTTTTTTATTACACTTTGTAGAAAAATATTCATTTTGTCTTATTAATAAACGTAAAGCCTTGTTTTTTTATTCGTTTTATTCAGAAATAAATAGGCTTTTCAGTGAAAAAAACAAAAATGTCTATTGGATATTTTGATATGGCGCGAAACTTGATTTTTTTTATTATATTTTTTTGAAAAACAATTACTCTGTCCTTAATATATATTTTATAATATTTAAATGATTTTATTACATATCTTCACTTAATAATGTTAATATATTCTCCACATGCCAAAGGTTGTAATATAATGGAGAACCTTTTTATTAAATCGTAGTCAATTCCAGTTATTTTAGAAGACTTTACTGCACCTTGAAAAAATCTTCTTGCCGTATTCCCATCATTAGAATTTCCACTCCCTTGTTTGGGAAAATCTATTAACAATCCCATTTCTTGGCGGAATTCCTCCTGTATGCGTTTTTTTTCTTTTTGTTTTAATTCCTTTTGTTTATCAGTTCTCGCAGACCAACACTTAAAAGATATATTATAGGCAATATGAATAATGCACTCCATAAAACGAATCCAAGCATGGAGACTCGATAATCCATACTTGAAGGAATCTATTCTTAAAGATTTTGCTTTAATAAGGTCCAAATTATTCATTTCTTTGGGTGTTGCTCCACAATTAATGCAGGTTTGCGATGAAGGGGTACTAGTAAGAACTTGTCCAACTTTTCCATCCAGCATTGTGGAAAGCATCGTGTACTTTATGTTACTTTTTTTTATATATAGTTGGAATTAACTTGCCAATCTGTGCATTAACTTTTTCCACCTCTCTTGTTATTACTTCTGAAGACCCTTTTATGTATTCGAACTTGATGGGCCTACAATACTTCGTAGATGAAGGTTGAGGGTTCTCCCAAACCTTCGTATTTACTTCATTCTTTAGTAATATTGGTACCATTGAAATCATAAATACGCTAGAATCGGTCGCAGTAGAAGAGCTTAAAAATTTTTGTTTATATTCACCTTGTCCGGATGCTTTATCACAACCCCATTTAACCATTAATTCCAGATCCCTATTACCGAAATTGGCATCATATTCAACAGATTCCAGCAAACGTTTTGAAGTGTGATCTAAAAGTGATTGCAGACCTATTTCAGAACCCATTTCGGTTGTAGTTATATCACCGGGATAACATTCATTCTTGGATTTTTTAATGTGCTCATACGAAGGAAATAAATTTGAATTATGCAATTTTGCAATTTTCCGTAATTTCATGTAGCCTGCTTTGGACAAATTTAAATCCAGAAGTAATGCCAGTGCTTCGTCATCTGATGAGTGGAATTTCACTTAATTCGCTGGTAGACGGTAAATTTTCATTACTACTATTTAATGTATTTTTATACACAAAATTAACTCCATCAATACCAATACTTTCCCTTATTTTCAAAGATTTGCGTCTTTTTGACCTCTTACTAGATTCCATAAATGGCTTGCTAGGTCTTCTAGTGCATTGTTTCTTTGGTGTATTTTCAGTTTCTTCGGATATAAAAAAAGTATTTTTCAACCAACTCTCATATTCTATAATAAATTTTTTCTTGTACTTTACTTTGCGAAGTCGATCCTTAACATGACTAGTAAACGTTTTTAATCTCAAGTTCGTTTTGTCTTCATCTTCTTGATTAAGTTTGTATTTTTCTTTTATAAACTGAAGTAATTCTTTGTTATCGTAATCATTTTTAAATATTAAATTGACTAAATCTAAATATTTAATTTCTTCCATATTAAGCTCGGTAAATCACTGACAACACTAATAATGATTGAATATAAATTTAGTTTGATTTTATGATGTAATATATATACATATATATATATATATATATATATATATATATATATATATATATATATATATATATATATATATATATATATGTCGGAGAATAGACATTAATTTGATTGGCGTGTTTATAAATAACAATTTGGTAAAATAAGCAATGCTGTTTATAATAAATAAGACTTTAGAAATAGATTTTAGAGGAACAGTTATTATGTATGGATAAGGATGCATTAGTGAAGGTGATGACTAACGATCACCATACGTAGCCACGGTCTCATGGGAACGTAGAGATAAAGATCCAAAAAAAAGGTGGATATGTACCAACCCTCGGGGGGGTTAGATGGCCATTCTTAATCGGGCCATAAGACAGTAAAGACGCGTGAAAACCGGAGACCGCGGATTCGTTTTAATCGTTAGTTTCATACTTTAATTTACTTTGTGCATATAATCTTTAGCGTCTATCGTTTTGTCTAGTTAGATATTCGTAATTAAATGTACTAATTGTCGAGAATCAGTGTTTGATTGTTGTGAATGATGTCCAAGTCCAAGTAACGCGGCCCCGAAAAACAACGATTCGACCTCAGAAGTGGGATGTCATCATTTTCAGCTTCGAACCGCCCTTGTGCATTCAGACCCGCTTCTTGTAGTACAGCGATTTGGTCTCGGGACAGGTTCACGCTCTGGTTATACCCTAGGAGATTGGGCGTGGGTAAGCCGGCGTTCCAGTCAGCGTCCGGTCTTATACCATCGGGAAGATCCCAATCTCTGGCGTCTTGATGGACAGTAAAGCCGTAATCTCTTATAATTCGTTCGGCGAATACTGCAAGACAGGGATACTCCATGTACATGAAGTGGTTATCTTGATCAATTTGACCGAACCATCCACCGTGCATGTGGTCGGGACCAGGCACGTATTCAAGGCGTCGGAATGAGCACTTATATTCTCGACCGCTCTCGGATGTGATGTTGCCAAAACCAGATAGGTATGTCGAAATCAGTTGGGGGAGGGATCCATGTAGTCCGTAGACACTATCCATGTAGCTACGTTCGTTAAAGGTAAGCACAATGCCATTCTTGTCCTTTATCTTATACATGCGCGCTAGGGCATGACAAGCGACGTAATATGCTAACATGGATTCAGAGATACGTCGAGCGTATCCAGGATCCAGGGCCTTAAAAGTCTCGTGGAATTTGGCGAGTAAGGCCGGGAATACCTTTGAAGCTTGGAAAGTTTTTAAGCGTATCCGCTAATGGTCTTCCCTCTTGCCCGGGCTCAGGCATCAAAGCTTCATGGTATATGGGGTCATTCTTCGGGGTGGAACTAGCTTTTGACAGTCTAGTTGGGGCAGGAGGCCCTGACGGTGGTGGAGCCGTCGCTTTTTGAAGCGGCTGGCTAACCGGAGTCTTCTTGCTACGGTTTCCTCCCGTTCGTCCTCGGCCACGACGAGTATTCTCGTACTCTCTGTAGTCCTGGCGAGGTTGAGGCTCATACGTCTGGTACTGAGCCTCAGCGTCAGCGTACTGACGGTTGTGTTGTTGGGGATCAGAGTGGGCTCCTCTTGGTCCTCTAAAACCGCGCTGCGTGCCACGGTTCATCTTGCTTCTACTTAAAGGCTTCAAAACAAGGAAAAGGTTTCTTTTTAAATAAAAAGTCGCTATCCAGCTATCACAAGTCTGTGTTGGGTTTGACCAACTTAACAAAATAAAATTGCAAATTGCAAGAGACACCGTAGCTCAAGGTGTTGAAAGAGACACCGTAGCCGAAGGTGTTGCAAGAGACACCGTAGCTCAAGGTGTTGAAAGAGACATCGCAGCTAAAGGTGTTGCAAGAGACACCGTAGCTCAAGGATTTTATGATGTAATATTATATTATTAAATATATATATATACATATATATATATATTATTAAATATATATATATATATATTTATATATATTTATATATATAAAATTATACCTAAAAACATATACAAACAAAGGTACATTACCTGAAATGTTTATCATTTGGTTCATCACTATTTTTACCTCTAGGTAGAACAATGTACAGGATTACAAATAGTTACATGATTTGTTTTAGGAAACTAATAATTTATTTGAAACAAAGAAAAGGTTTATAACAAAATTTATTATTAAATAATTTTATTTGTAATATTAAAAAATTAACAATAGATCCTATATTTATTATGGTTAAGATTCAGTGCTAATTTAACCGCGGTGACGGACACATCGGCTGAGTGAATTAGTGTGATTTTCCTATTCTGATTTTCCTACAGTACCGCGTTGTAGGGAGAGATTTTTAAATTCTTAAAAGACAAATACAAAAATATTAATGGTAATTATTCCTGACATCTTTAAAAAAAATTCTAACCTTAATTTCTTCCATTTGCGCGCCTAAAATCGAATTTTCAATGGAGTTGCATTATAAAACTTATTTTACGCACTCCATTTTATCTCAATAAAGCTAATATTATTATAATTTTCGAATTATGATGCAGAATAATATAAAATAGAGTATTTCACCATATTTGTTTTAGGTAATCAACATTTTTCAGATATGAATATTACTAAATAAAATTATATTAAAATGTATATCTTCAATATGGCACCCGTAAGTATGGCAACAGTGGAGGGTGCCTGTTTGAATATAATTATAACCAGTTTATACGTGAAGGGTGCTACTTGATCATGATTTTTGGTGGTGCCACAATGTCAAGTTTTAAAATTGGTTTTTTATACGAGGGGGTCACATTTACGTTGATTAAGTGGGTGCCACTTCATACAAGATGCATGTATATATATATATATATATATATATATATATGTCGGAGAATAGACATTAATTTGATTGGCGTGTTTATAAATAACAATTTGGTAAAATAAGCAATGCTGTTTATAATAAATAAGACTTTAGAAATAGATTTTAGAGGAACAGTTATTATGTCTGCAGTCCGATAAGGATGCATTAGTGAAGGTGATGACTAACGATCACCATACGTAGCCACGGTCTCATGGGAACGTAGAGATAAAGATCCAAAAAAAAGGTGGATATGTACCAACCCTCGGGGGGGTTAGATGGCCATTCTTAATCGGGCCATAAGACAGTAAAGACGCGTGAAAACCGGAGACCGCGGATTCGTTTTAATCGTTAGTTTCATACTTTAATTTACTTTGTGCATATAATCTTTAGCGTCTATCGTTTTGTCTAGTTAGATATTCGTAATTAAATGTACTAATTGTCGAGAATCAGTGTTTGATTGTTGTGAATGATGTCCAAGTCCAAGTAACGCGGCCCCGAAAAACAACGATTCGACCTCAGAAGTGGGATGTCATCATTTTCAGCTTCGAACCGCCCTTGTGCATTCAGACCCGCTTCTTGTAGTACAGCGATTTGGTCTCGGGACAGGTTCACGCTCTGGTTATACCCTAGGAGATTGGGCGTGGGTAAGCCGGCGTTCCAGTCAGCGTCCGGTCTTATACCATCGGGAAGATCCCAATCTCTGGCGTCTTGATGGACAGTAAAGCCGTAATCTCTTATAATTCGTTCGGCGAATACTGCAAGACAGGGATACTCCATGTACATGAAGTGGTTATCTTGATCAATTTGACCGAACCATCCACCGTGCATGTGGTCGGGACCAGGCACGTATTCAAGGCGTCGGAATGAGCACTTATATTCTCGACCGCTCTCGGATGTGATGTTGCCAAAACCAGATAGGTATGTCGAAATCAGTTGGGGGAGGGATCCATGTAGTCCGTAGACACTATCCATGTAGCTACGTTCGTTAAAGGTAAGCACAATGCCATTCTTGTCCTTTATCTTATACATGCGCGCTAGGGCATGACAAGCGACGTAATATGCTAACATGGATTCAGAGATACGTCGAGCGTATCCAGGATCCAGGGCCTTAAAAGTCTCGTGGAATTTGGCGAGTAAGGCCGGGAATACCTTTGAAGCTTGGAAAGTTTTTAAGCGTATCCGCTAATGGTCTTCCCTCTTGCCCGGGCTCAGGCATCAAAGCTTCATGGTATATGGGGTCATTCTTCGGGGTGGAACTAGCTTTTGACAGTCTAGTTGGGGCAGGAGGCCCTGACGGTGGTGGAGCCGTCGCTTTTTGAAGCGGCTGGCTAACCGGAGTCTTCTTGCTACGGTTTCCTCCCGTTCGTCCTCGGCCACGACGAGTATTCTCGTACTCTCTGTAGTCCTGGCGAGGTTGAGGCTCATACGTCTGGTACTGAGCCTCAGCGTCAGCGTACTGACGGTTGTGTTGTTGGGGATCAGAGTGGGCTCCTCTTGGTCCTCTAAAACCGCGCTGCGTGCCACGGTTCATCTTGCTTCTACTTAAAGGCTTCAAAACAAGGAAAGGGTTTATTTTTAAATAAAAAGTCGCTATCCAGCTATCACAAGTCTGTGTTGGGTTTGACCAACTTAACAAAATAAAATTGCAAATTGCAAGAGACACCGTAGCTCAAGGTGTTGAAAGAGACACCGTAGCCGAAGGTGTTGCAAGAGACACCGTAGCTCAAGGTGTTGAAAGAGACATCGCAGCTAAAGGTGTTGCAAGAGACACCGTAGCTCAAGGATTTTATGATGTAATATTATATTATTAAATATATATATATACATATATATATATTATTAAATATATATATATATATATATATATATATATATTTATATATATAAAATTATACCTAAAAACATATACAAACAAAGGTACATTACCTGAAATGTTTATCATTTGGTTCATCACTATTTTTACCTCTAGGTAGAACAATGTACAGGATTACAAATAGTTACATGATTTGTTTTAGGAAACTAATAATTTATTTGAAACAAAGAAAAGGTTTATAACAAAATTTATTATTAAATAATTTTATTTGTAATATTAAAAAATTAACAATAGATCCTATATTTATTATGGTTAAGATTCAGTGCTAATTTAACCGCGGTGACGGACACATCGGCTGAGTGAATTAGTGTGATTTTCCTATTCTGATTATCATAATCAATTAATCTGTGTTGGTTTAGTGTTTAAGTTAAAGGATATCTTAACATAAGGGAGTACTTATTTAAGGACAATTAACAATATAATTAACAAAATTAACTAATAAATAGAATTTCAATGGGTGAACCAACGGGCGACCTTGGGTCGCCCGATACGGTCAAGCAAGGCGGCGATGCAGCAAGTGTTGGTGCAAAAAACATTGATTTTAACAACAAATATAAAGTAAATGATTTAGGCCCATATTTTGTTTACGTTCAACAAAAAGATAACTCTAGTAGACTTTTTCCAATGAGAGTTGGTCACTATTTATTTACTAATGACATATTTAAAAAATCCGTCATAAATATTCAATCATTAGGATTTAATCGAGTCAAAGTTATTCTAAACTCGACTGTTGCTGCGAATTCTCTTGTAAACAACGAAGTTCTTACTAGTAACAATTTAATTGCGTGTATACCTAAATATTTTACACAAAAAAAGGGAATAATTCGTATGGTGGATACTTTTTTCTCCGACGAATATTTACTTGAAAACATTAAATCTGATATTAAAATTGTTGAAATTAAAAGAATGAAGCGTACAGTTATAGATAACGGTGAAAAAAATCTGTTAATAGACAAATGGTAATCTTAACATTTCTGGGTAACTCTCTACCTAAATCCATAAAAATTAACCTAGTTCACTTCCCAGTTGAACCTTACATTTACCCCATTGTGCAATGCTATAAGTGTCTGCACTATGGCCATACAGAGCATCAATGTAAAGGAACAAATGAATGTAAATTCTGCGGCGACAACCATTCGGCCGAGCTATGTTCACAAAAAGAGTCAATATTTTGTATACACTGTAAAACTTCTGACCATTCGAGTATCAACAAATCCTGTCCTAAATATAAAACACAATACAAAATTAAAGAAACAATGGCGTATAAGAATGTTTCCTTTAAAGAAGCTCAACACCTCTTGCCAATTTAACTGAGTTCCCAAGCTTACCATCCCCCCCAACCAATTCATACTCCAACTCTTTAAAACGTCCCCCTAAAACCAAACCAGTTAAACGTAAAGCTGGAAAGTCCCCCGAAAGGGAAAATAATAGGCGTAAAATCGAGTCAGGCAGTTCTGGCTCAAAATCCATTTTACCAAACCCTTATAGGGAAGAATTTCTTGCGTTTAAGGACAGCCTTGCTGATCAAATTTCTTCTTTTCTAAACAGTGTAATTTTAACAATTTTGCCAGAAAAAAACAGTGAAATTGACATAGCCAAGGAACTTAAAATTAAGGACACTCTACTAAAACTTTTCTCTCAAATAAATACCACAAATTCTAATAACCAAGAAAAAATGATAGTTGAGACTTTGCCTTTGTCTTCTGATGAAGAAGACGAGTATTAATTTATCTTTCTCTAGTTAAAAAAAAACAACAACAAATAAACATGAGACCTGGTTTAACCATTCTTCAATGGAATTGTCGTTCTTTACTAGCAAATAAACATTATTTAACTAACTATTTATCCAACAATATAACTGATGTTGTAATTATGTCAGAAATATGGATTAAAGATAACTTTAATATAAAATTTAAGGGTTATAATTTTGTCAAAAAATGCCGCCCAAATGGTAAGGGTGGTGTTGGTATCTTAGTATCAGAATCAATACAATTTATGGTACCAGATTTTACAAAAAATTTTAATGAAAACATCGAATTATGTGCAGTTTATTTAAATACTTTAAAATTAAATATAATAACAGTTTATAAACCTCCACTTATACAAGCTACAGTAAATGACAAATATATTCTCTCAATTTCATGGCGAAGTCGTCATAGGTGGGGACTCTCACCATACCACATGGGGATCAATAAACAACAATTCTCAGGGTACAAATATCATTGAGGCTCTGGACCGTACAAATCTAGTAATTTTAAATAATGGTACACATACAAGAATTGGTTCACTTAATCAGAACTCATCTGCTGTTGATTTAACGTTCGTTAACCCCTCTCTTTCCCTAATTTCAACCTGGCAAGTTGTTGATGAAAATCTAGGATCTGATCACCTCCCTATATTAATTAAGATAGAAAAAAATTCTCCTCCAATAATAAAAACACCAAACTCTCGATGGAATGACAGAAAAGCCAACTGGGATAGTTTTTCAAATCATTTAAACTCTCTTTCACAAAAAAGCCACCACGTTAACAATTCTAATAATTTTAAAACTTTAATTGATATTATTAACAGGGCTGCAGACAAATCTATTCCTTTAAGGAAACCACACTCGTCAAAAATAAAAAACCCTTTATGGTGGGATGATGAATGTACCAATATTAAAACTCTACGACATCAGGCTTATCAAAATTATAAAAATATTTCAAACTTTGATAACTATATAAATTTTAAAAAGGTAGATGCTCAGGCAAAGAAAGTTTTTTGTTCAAAGAAACGTTCCTGTTGGAGAACATTTATATCTAAACTAAATAAAAACTCCCCAATCTCTCAAATTTGGAGACAAATTAAACAAATAAAGGGCATAAATACGGTCAAATATAACATCTTAAAAGAAATTGCTTTAAAAGTGTTGGAAGTTATAGCCCCCATTCAGGTTCGAAATAAAAAATATACATTTAATAAAAAAATAAATAACGATATTGATAGTCCCTTTAATATGAATGAAATCAATATTGCCCTTAAAATTCAAAATAATACTGCTCCTGCTCTAGATAACTATACAGCTAATATCTTAAAACACATCCCAAATTCAACAAAATCATTACTTCTACAAATATTCAACGATTGGTGGATAAACAATAAATATATCGATGATTTAAAAGAAATTGTTATTATACTTATTCATAAGAAAGACAAGGACAAAAATGATTCCAACTCATACAGACCAATATCTCTTTTATCATCCATTTTTAAAACTTTCGAACGTATGATTAAACGCCGTCTTGAATGGTTCTATGGTCGTCAAGGAAAAGGTACCATTGACGCAGTAACACATTTGGTAACTAATATTCAAAATTCCTTTTTAAATAATGAATACTTGGCTTGTTTGTTTGTAGATCTAAAGGGTGCCTATGATTGTGGTGATCTAAATAAACTTCAAAATATCCTTAACTACAATATCTCTTCAAAATCATCCATTAATATTGTTGAAATGTACACAAACAGAAAAATTTTTGTTCGAGATTCTAATAACAACCTTCATGGTCCACGGGTTGTTAATTTAGGTCTAGCCCAGGGTTCAGTCCTAAGCCCACTACTTTTTAATATTTATACAGCTTCACTACACCAACTATTTGACAAATCTATAGGCGTCATTCAGTACGCCGATGACATTACTATATATTGTAAAGATAAGGATTTCAATAAATGTATAAAAAATCTAAAATATGCTGTATATTGTTTTAAAAACTGGTACGAGGAACTTAACTTTGAACTCTCAGCAAATAAGTCGGCAATTGTTTTCTTCAGTAGACACAAAATCCCTTTCACAGGCCCTACTCTTAAATTAAATGTCTTTGAAATTCCAATATTAAACGAATTTAAATATCTAGGTTTCGTCCTAGACAAAAAATTATTATGGACCAAGCATATCTCGCTAATAACAACTAAATGCGAAAAAGGCCTAAATATAATAAGATCCATTTCTAAAACTAAATGGGGCGCTGACGCGCACACTTGCTTGTTATTTTACAAATCTTTTATTTTATCTATTATTGATTATGGGAATATCCTATATGGTTCTGCATCTAAATCCAATTTACTGAAAATTGACCAAATACAATATAAGGTACTTAGGACATGTTTGGGACTTATGAGATCTACTCCTGTGGAAGTACTCCTTGCTGAATCTAGCCAGATACCGATGCAATTAAGAAGAAACTTTCAGGCTAATAAATTTATATTAAAATTAGCACATAATAATAACACTGTCTTTAATGAAATATGTAATTTAACAACCAACACACTAACTTTAAATTACTGGTCAAAAAAAAATCCCCCTCCTCTTACGCAAGCCTTCCTAAATAACTCCAACTACATACCATACATCGAAAATCATACACCCTTACCAATATTTCAACTCAGTTTCTTTGAAACCATTACTTTACCTAAAGTTCTTATTCTAAAATATGTAGACACTGCTTTAATTAATGAAATTATAATAAAAAACATCTTGTCAAAATGTGGAAACGCTATACATTTATATTCGGATGGATCCAAAAATCATAAAGGAACAGCATGTGCCTTTTGGGTAGAGGAATTTAAAATAGAGGCACAATTTAAACTAAATGAATTATGCTCCATATACACAGCAGAAGCATTTGCCATCTTCCAAGCAC